TATATCACACACACACACATATATATATATTCCCTTGTTCCCTTATGTATCTTTACTCATCTACCCTTTGTGTTGTTCAGTGTACACTGAAGTGTGCATTATGTGTATAGCTTGTATATATTTTTCTCCCTTTCTCCACTTCAGTGATTTTGGAGAAAATGTCACAGAATGTGATAAATTCCTTATGTGTATTTTAGGACCATTATATGACTTTTATAATAAACCCTATAACACTGTGACTGAAGTAATTTTTTTGGAACACTGGACAGAACTCAGGATCTTGTGCATGGCAGGGAAACACTGTACACTGACTATCACCTTCAGTCCTATTTACTTATTCCTACTGATAATCATTTATAGATTTATGAAGTAAAACACAGTGGCTGAATACATGCCTATACTATGCAGTGATTAAATTAAAGTGCTTAGCATATCTATCACCTCTAACATTCACCATTTCTTTGACTTAAAACATCAAAATCCTATTTCTAGTTACTTTGAAATATATTGCACATTACCTTTAACTGTGTCCACTTTACTGTGTAATAGAACACTTGAGGTTATCTCCTGATTGTAACTTCTTACTCTCTGAGTAAACATTTCCACATCTTAGTTAATGTAAATAGTGCTGCAATAAACAAGGGAATGTAGCTATCTCTTTGACAAGCTGATTTCAAGGGGGGATTGCTGGATTACTGAACACTTCTGTGTTTTTTAAGGAACCTTCATACCACTTTCCATATGGCTGTGACACTACACTCACACTAACCTTTAGCAAGTGTGCCTGCCCCTTCACACTTCAGTTAGTCCTTGCTATATTTTGTCTTTCAGCTAAAAGCCTATATAACTAGAGTGAAGTCAATGTTTTTGATTTGCATTCCCAATAATCACTGCTGCTGAGCACGTTTCCTGTATCCATTGACCATTTCATGGCTACTTTGAGAAATGTCTCTTTCTTCCTTCACTGTTGAGCAGTTTGAGTTTATTATATTTTCTGTTTAACTTCAGTTCAGATGTATAGTTTGAAAAGGTTTTCTCCCATTTTTTAGGTCATCTCATTATTGTGTTATTTCTTCTGCTCCATAGAAGCTTTCTAGGTTGATGTAATCCAATTCATAAATTTTATCTTTGTTGCCTGTTGCCCTTGTTAGCTTTTGGATCCACGTCTGAAAAGTCTTTGCTAGTACAATGCCCAGTAGCATTTCTCCTGTGTTTTCTCCTACTAGTTTCATCATTTTAAGTTTTACATTGAAGTTTTTCATCCATTTAGAATGGATTTTTATATGATAAGAAGTAGAGGTGTAGAGAATAGAACTATTATTGACATTTTAAAAACATAGAATCTATGAACATCATGCTGATCATGAAATAGCAAAAAACTTTCAACTCTACATCTAACAACAATTACACTTTTTAACCTAAGGCTTATATAAGGTATGTTTTAAATGGAAAGTTGTTAAGGAGTTAAAATATAATTCTATAATTCTATTAATTTTTCTACAGCTTCTTTACTGCTTTCATTTATCTTCTACATATCCTTTATATCTGAATATATTACAGTTTTTCACTTAATAAAACTCCAAAAGAGAGAAAAATATAAATTAAAAGTAATAAAATGTATTTCATGAACTAATCAAAGTAAATAGTTGTATCTGTGCTATAAAAAGATTTTTTAAAAAGTAAAGTGATTTTGATACAGATTTAATTAATTTCTCATTTCCATATACATTTGATTTTATGTTATGAATATAAAAAGTCTGATATAGCAATAAATTATATTTTATTGAATTTATTTTATATAGATGGAAAGTATGTGCAGTGATGGTTTAGCATTTAAAGTATAATTTAGGATTCCTTTCCCCTTAAACATTTAAAATAGCTTTATAAGATATTATATTTATTATTAAGATACATTTAATGTGCAGAAAATTTATACAGTGTCTTTTTCCCTAAACTAGATGGAAATCATAGAAAGAATGCAAAGTGAACAGAAATAAATTACCAAACTGGAAGTTGACTTTGTAAATATCAAAAAAAAAATGTGACAACAAAGATACGTAAGCACACATAAAGCCTGGAAACAATGATGTAGGAGACAAATTTTATAGATGGAACATTTATATATTTAATGTTAATAAAAGCAAAATACTACACACATTATTCAGTGCAATTTTGAAAATATGGCTAAAATCAAATAACATAAATTAACCCATGCCAGCATATCTTTTAATTAAAATGTTTCCATGGAAGTGCAAAAGAAAATCTCTGTGAGCAATCAGGGAAAATAATCCAAATCCCCCAAACACAGAAAAGAAACAAATATAATTTAAATTTGTATTTACTTGTACTAATGGCCTTATTAATTATTTACAGGCAGGTCATATATCTGAATATGTTCTTACAATCCAAGAGTGCAGTGATGAGGGAACAAGGACCCAACAGTGATACAGGATTGTGCTTTCTGTTAGTTGGCACTAGGGCTCGAGTCTGAGGGCTACCAGACAGTGCAAGTAGTATCTTCTAGACTTGTGTAGGAGAGTGTCAGGGGGCTGGAACATTGTCATAGACTTATTTCCTAATTTTCTCACTATGTGTCCAGAAAACTTACACATCCCATAGGGCTGTTGAAACACTGAAGCAAAAGAGGTTCCACCCTTAGACACAGCCTGGAATGGAAATGGAAAAAGCAGCCAAAAGTCTGACTTTGTTAGGGAGGCAATTGTTTTCATGGAATTATCCAGGGCAAATGCTAATGAAACTATGGTTGGTTCAGGTGGCAATGCACACTAGAAATATTACTCATCAAATGAAAACAAGTGCAATACCATCTTTTGTGGAACATTCTATTACAAATATATTAAAGCGTAAGAAGTAGACATGTAAGTAAATTCATTTAGAATTTTTATGAAAATACACAGAACAGTGAATAGAATAGAAGGGAGAAATCAGAATTAGAATGTGACACACATACATATGAATATACAAATTTGATTAAATTAAAAATGATGGACACTTTTATGCATACTACTAGGTAGAATATAGTTAATAAGAAGGGAAATCAGATCCTTAGTTTTCATCATATTAAAAAATAAAATCCAGGTAGGGAGAATATTTGAACAATTTTAAAAGCTTTAAAATCCTTTAAAATCTAGGGAGCTATATAAACTATTTGACAATAAGGAATCTTTTCCTAGCTAAGTCTAGTAATCATGAAGCTATAAAAGGTAGATGTTTCAAAGGAAAAGCATAAATTCTGTCAAATAATAAGTAGTAGAACAAAAAAAGACCACACTAAACATGTTAATTTCCATAATGGCCAAATTGTTTCTTGGAGATTGATAAGAAATAATAAGTAAAATAAAACAAGGCACATGTTTTGAAGCCTTCCCTGCTGCCATTAGAAGAAACCAAATAAACATGTGGGCTCTTCCTGTGTTATTTCCTACAATTGCATGTGAGTTTTTGTCTCAAAATAATATATTTAATAAAAAATTGGCACAGATCAACTTATACTGTAATAAGGAAGATTTTGAAAAAAAAAACAGAAAAATAAAAATGATAGTCAAATTTAAGAATAGAGACATAAATTAGTCATATTGCATAACTGAAAAACTGAGATGTATTTTATAGTAAAATCATTCAGTCATTCCATTTTGTGAATTTATCTACTAAGCACACTTACAGAAAGTCATGTGGCTTTTTGCACTGATCTGGGTAAGAAAGCAAAACAATGTGAACCAGGTGAAATAAATCTGGGAAAACCAGAAATTGACTTCACATTATGGATACAAGATAATTAAAATGAAAGAATTGTTATCCATCAGAAAGATGTAATTTTTAAAAATCAGTGTAAAATGATTAGACTTTTACAGAACTCATGATTGCAAGTGTGGTGATGAACTACATTTGGTCATTCTCATGGTGTGTCTGTGTGCCTGATTCAAGACCATGCTGATGCTCTTGAGAGACATGAGGGCAGATGGAGTCAACATGAAGAGAAACAGCACTTTTTTTCAATAAAGAGATAAGAAGTTTTGAATTATTTAAATATGATCATAGCAATAATTAATTTTACTGTGTAAATTCTCCCTTGCTAAAGACAATATTATTCTCTTATTTTTCACACAAGGTGTGGAAATTTGAAAACACTTATAGAGAAACAGAATTCTCTTTTTAGCTTTCTAATTATGTAAGTAATGTGTTACAAAAACTGAGTAATTATGACTCTTGAAAAATAAAATTTAATTTTGTTTGAAATAATATGATTATTAAAAATTGAGAAAAAAAAACAACAAAAAGAGGAAGAAAAGGGCTGGGGATTTAGCTCAGCAGTTTGGTGGCCTGCCCTGCAAGCACAAGGACCCGAGTTCAATCCCTGTTACAAAAAAAAATTGAGAAAAATCTGGGCCAAGAAGAGGTAATATGGAGTAAAGTAAAGACTTCATATTGTTACAAAAGGAATTGGTAATTGACACACAAAAACAGAGATGCAGAATAGAAGTAAAATAATAAAAGGTTTATTTTGCCAGCAAAAGGTCGATTGCACTAAAAGCAGTGCCAATTATCAACCCTGCACTGGGTTGCAGCTTCTTCTTTTATAGGTTTTAAGCCTTGATCTCATTTAGGTGGTTACATTTCATTTCCTCAGTTCACATCACCCATGTACAAATTACAGTAACAAGACAGTTAACTTTAACCCAAACATAACAATTCCTTGCAGTTAGGGAGTTTACCTTAAGATTCATCTAGCTATCTATTCTAGTCACAGGAAGAGGGTGTTTAAGGTCAGGGATGAGGCCAGATGTCCCACTCATGGTCAATGCCTCCAGGGTCTGTTAATTTTGAACTAAATGAAGCAGATTGCTGTTAGAGACAGGAGAAGTCATTTTACATTTTCCTAACATTGTGTAGGTTTTTAGGTTATGCACAAAAGTTCTTTCTATCATTATGCCATCACAGAAGGGCCAAGGATTTGCCTCAATAGTTACCTACAGGAGCATCAGGTATTCGAGCCTCATCCTGTCATCTTGGGGGACACAACTAAACCTACAACACAGTAAGAATGTTCAGTTTTTGTGGTAAAATTATTTTCTCCATAAAAGCAATACTCCAGCGTAGCATGAGGAGGAGAAGCAAAAATAATTAAGATGGGTACATGCGCTACTGCTCCGTGATGATTGTAGCAATTGTGTTCCAATTACATGCTAATGAAAATATTTTTAGAAGCAGTCCCATTTTTTGCTGGACTCCTACTCAGAGGCTGAACAACACTCCTCATACAACCAACAATGGGAGACGCGGATACAGTGACCCATTCAACTACCCTCGGTACCCATTTATCTTCTCTTTGGTGCCTTGGTAAATTGTTGGTTATGATTCTCAAGCTATCAGTCATATATCAGTTACTTAATGCCACCGGTTAAGCTGTGGACTCAGGTAACAGGTGTGCATCGTGTGCAGGCATGTTCAAAGGCCAGTGCGTGGCCAAAGACTGTTTGCCGTGAGTTTGCAGTTGCCTTGTCTTATTGTTTCTTATGCCATTAAGCTTTCCTTTCAAAACTAGTTCAGAGAGTCGGAAAACACTTTCATTATGTTGTTGATTCTTCATTAATTTCTTCAACAGTCCCTGTGACCCATACTTACTTCCACATATTTACACACTGATATGAGATAGGGATATGGGATTCTATGTGCAACTTACGGCATTTCTTTATTAAATCACAGTAACATTTGTGACATCATAACATGCTTTTTAAAAGAGTATGTAAACCTTTATTACCTCTACTAGCATTACCTGAGTTATCCATAATCTGGAGATTGTCCTCAGTGATATGTACCATAACCGAGTGATATTAGAATAAATTGAATTGCAGAGGTGTTATTTATAAATGTTTTCTGTCATGGAATGTTTGGAAACCTTTAATGCAAAGTAATGTAAATGGAGCCTAATCAGAATAATAGGGGGAAACTCTGAAATGATTTCTCATTTTGTTATCGTTCACGAGGTGATTTTATAGGATAATGAAGGGGAAGAGTCATTAATAGTATTTTTCGTATTAGAGATGAAACTATGTTTGCACTGATAATGTCTTCCAGGTAATGCGGAGAGGCTCCTAGCTTATGTAAAACTCTCAGGCAGCCTGCAAGGGACAGGGCTTGGCCTCCATGTGTGCTGCATCCTGGAGAATCATAGCAGAGGCAGAAGTTCCAGTCGGTCTCCTAGAGGCCTGTGTTTGTCTGAATAGATAGCTCTGCTTACTAAAAGCTTGCATCCCTTTGTCCCTTTTAGGCATTCTTTCATTGCCAAACCTTACAACACAGAAAGGAAAGCGCTTGGAGGCCGCTTTTCAGAATTGGGTTCTCAGTGCAGCTGTGCATAGATTTCAAAATCATTCTTTGATTTTTCAATTTCTCTCCTGTATAGCTGATAATGCTGGAGGGGTGTGCTGAAGAGAGATTAGAGTCAGGTAATGGAAACAGCAGAAGCAGCAACACTTGTTTTCTGTTCCGGTCAATACGAAAAATGATTCTACTTTGATGAATACAAGCTCAATGTTCTGAGAAACACAGAAAAAAATGACAAAATGTAAATGAAACAGCCTTTTATATTCAAAGCAAATTCAAATTATGCTTGGAATTGGGCTGTCTCCAGGTGACATGCCCTGTGGGTCCTGAAAGAAACAATTTCTATAGAAAGAAAAAGGAATGAGACCTCTATCTTTGTTTCTTCTTTTTGTACTGCACGGCAAAACTTTTGGAAACTCATCATTTTTATACCATACCTGGCAGTGCAGCATTTCTCAAACTATGATCTGACAAATTTGTTCTCTGAAAAACATTACGCATCTCTAGCCAAAATAGCCAAAATATTTTCAGATGTAAGTAACATAATTATTCTAAGAATTTATTTTCAATTTCTATGTAATTTAAATCCAGAGTAGATTAGTAACTATAAAATCAATAATAAGATATAAATAAACAAATAATTGGCAAAAATATGACATTTTGATGAAGGATATATATTTTATGAGAGTCAAATAAACATAGAAAAAGATGTTTAACATCATTAATCATTCATGCAAAGTTAAAATAAAAAATGAGGCACAACTACATAGGAAGCATAACTAAAATTTAAATTCAATAAAAGCAATAATAACAAGTGCTGACAAGGAGATGGAATGAAATTCTCATATATTACTGGTGGGAAGACCAAAAAATACAGGTAATTTGGCAGATAACTTGACAGTCAGCTAATTTACTTTCTTATTATTTAATTATAAATAAAAATGGAATTACATTTTGAATGTTTCTGTACATAATATTATCTAAAAGACTTGCTTCCTCTATAAGGTCATCTTAAAATTTGCATTTAAGAAAAAATATTTATAAAAGGCTGAATTGGAAAATCAATAGTAAGAAGACATAAAATCTGAGTTACATGCAGGACATCACTCCACATCTGAAGTGACAAAATAACATTAAAGATGTTTTCAGTGTGCCACAGGGACTGCCTAAAGTCAGAGCAAGGGACGTATGTAGAAGGCCCATGAGTTAATAAATTAAACACTATATGTAAAGCATATAAATTCTTAAAGTTCCTATCTTCTACAAGCTGTACAAACAAGCTAATAAACAAATAGGGCCAGGGATTTAGCTCAGAGGTTCTGGTGCCTGCCTCACAAGCCCAAGGATGTCAACCCAAGGACCTGAGTTCGATCCCTGGAGCCAAAAAAACATGTACCCACAATTTTATACATCACTTTTTTCATAAAGTTATGTTGAGTATGAAATTCAAAAATAGAATTGAAGAAATATATTCATCTCATTCCCAATTCTGTTAAGAAACTTTGATATATATCAAGGGGTGATATAGATAATTAGTTTTCAGTCAGTTTGTAAATCTTCTTAAACTTCTGTTTAAGGAAGCTGTTTTCCTAAGGAGGTGAAAAACACTGGCAAAATTAAGTGATGAGTACCCATTTCTTTAAGTCCATGGTTTTCCAGCATCAGTGTCAGGGACAGTCATGCAAAAGCCCTATTAAAAGATAAGCTACCTTGGACCTGTCCCCAGAGCTCCCAATTCAGTGGAAAAGGGTTGGGTTATGAGAATGTGATTTTTTAAGAAGTTACTAGATGATGCTTGGCCATTTCTCCTCCAGGTCTACAGTTCAGGAAACAATGAGTTAATTTATGTAGAAAATATAAAAAAAAATCTCCGCTCCCTAGTCATTTTCTGAGTAGATATATTCTTAAGTACATTTTTTAAAAAAAGTTACAGGTGCCATCTTCCCAGAAATATTTTATTCATTTAATTACCCTGGTTTTGGTGCTGTTTGCTAAATTTCATCCTAGAATTTATTTTTTCATCGTATTTCTTGAAAAAGTAAATTGACCTTAATGAATGTAGAAATGTTTGCAACTAGTAGTACGTGTTTACATTTTATTGAACTAAATATCATCACAGTGTTTTGTTCTGGGACATCATCTTTTTTAGAGTTTTCGGCTTCGCTAAATTTTATCAATGACATTATCTTATTTGAGATAGAGAAATAAGCCACCCAATCTATTTTCAGATCCTGGAAAAGTCAAGATACTGATCTCAATCCAGTGTGACCCACGTCGGACTTTTGACCTAAAGAACTGAAAGATGATAATTTGAATTTAAGCCAGTAAGTATGTGACAATTTCCTACATCTGTGATAGAAACCTACTATATATTCAATACCATGCTTCGATGGAAGAAAACAAGGTTTCCTTGGAGAAACAGCTAACCATAAGGCTGGAGTGGGGAACATGTAAATAAGCTATGGTTATCTCTCACAAGACAAGAAGTCTCACTGAAGCCAAGTCCATTTACTCACCACTCAAAAAAGACCCAGAAATTTACTTGGCAAACCAACAAAACTGGGAAGACAGGCCTGGCGTGCTGATATAACCTCTTAAATCAGCATACGTTGAAGTTCCTTTTACCTTTATTAAACAGGCAGAGGAGAAGATTAGGTTAGGAAATGATAAATTACTGCATACTTTTAGACACTTCTGGTAATCTGGAATGGGATGTGATTAATAATCTGTTGATCAAATGGTCCTATGAATCTTGAAAATATATTAGTTATTCTTACCTTGTCTTTACCAGTCTTCCTGAAGTGGGTGGAAAAGTTTAGAGAAGTTTTGGGTAAATCAACCATGTGCTTATAGTTTTGGATAAAATTTTCTTAAATGACTAACATGGCTTCATGTAGAATCAAGCAGAAACAATCTGATTCAACTATTGAAACAGTAAAGGAGACAGACACAGTATGAAGTCAGGGATGTTAAGCCTTTTCTCCCTATTTAGCACCCATCTGACACCGGCACAGATCCAAGTCCGTGCACAGCAAACAGGAGGCTGAAAGTCCTTGAAAAGTAACTTAGGCAACCATAGCTCCATAACCTCCACAGCAGAAGCATCATCTGTAGCAAAGCTTGTGGAAGACTAATAATTAGTTGCTAAGGTCTGTGATTTCCAAAATTAGAAATTTTGTAAAGTCATCTGAAAGCAAGTAACTAAAAATGAAGCTGACTACAGAGCCAGCCTTCTATTACTGTAACAAAATGCCTGAGGTAATCAACTGATTATTGAGATGAAAGAGGGTTTGGTTCGGTTTGTGTGGTGTGGTGAGGTGGGGTGTGCTTTTGGCAGTTTCAGCCCATGGTCAGTTGGCCCATTGCTTTGGTGCTGTGATAAGACAGTAAGAGAGCATCACGGCAGGAAAACGAGACAGAGGTGGTTATTCTCTTCATGACAGAGATGGGGGGGAAGGGGAGAGGGAGAGAGGGAGGGAGGGAGGGAGAGAGAGGGAGAGAGAGAGAGAGGAAAAATTCCAGTACTGATTGGAGGACATGGCCCCAGTGATCTACCATTCTCCTTTAAGTCCAGTTCCTACTGATCCAGCAGCATCGCAGGCTGGCGAGGAAGCCTTCAGCCCTGGACCTTGCGGGGACAGCCCTGAACAGTAGCACTGAGCTAGCAGCTGCAACTGGTGGATTTTGAGCAAAGTTTGATGAGCCCTGAAACAGACAGACTCATGAATGTGATAACTCATTCAAAATCGACACTGCTCTCATGGTTCTCGGGAAACCCCTCCGCAGCCCTCTCTATCCCTTGTCTACCCAGTGGAGCCCTCGTTCTGACTTCGTCACAGTAATAGCTGAAGCATTTCCTGCTTTAAGGGGGTCATATGAATAGACTTGCACCAAAAATAAACTTACATGTCTGGCTTTGTAGCATGTCTGGTTTTCAGCTTTGGGCCTGTTTGTCTACTACTATTGTGTCATTTTATGACTGGATGCATGTATGTACAGCTATTTATCCATTTACCTTGAGGTTTTGAATTGTTTCCATCCAGGGGCCATTATGAATTATCTGCTACCATTCTTTTAAAAAGGCTTTTTCTTTTCATTTAGATAGAGGAAAAAAAATATTTAGTCTTACAAGAAACAAGAAACAGCCAGATTATTCTTCTGTGGATCATTTTAAAATTTTGCCAACCTTAAATAACAGTTTAGCTGTCTGAATCTTTACAAAGATTCAGTGTTGTCAGACATCTCAGGTGTAGCAGTTCCAATGAGTATATAATAGCAACCATTGTCATTTTAATAGGTCTTTTTCTAATCACTAATAACGGTGAGCAATGTTTCATGCAATTACTCTGCTTATATCTTCATTCCTAAAGAATTTCTCTGTAGTTTTTTGCCTATTTTAATTGGATTGTTTCTTTCTTTCTTTCTTTTTTATTTTTGTATTTTATTTTTTGTTAAGTTGTAAGAGCTAATATTCTGGATATGTCTTTCTTATGTAGGTATTGCAAATGTCTCCTCACAGTGTATGGCTGGCCTTTTCATCTTTAAGAAATTCTGTCAAAGAGCACAGAGAATTAATTTTTATGATTTTTAATCTAAACGTGGGGGTTTTGTGTACAGTCTTCTACACTTTTTAAACTTTTATGCTTTTTATACTTTTATACTTCACACTAAAATTTCATTTTTCAAATTCATTGTTGTATATCTAGTAAGATCCATTAAATCCATCACAATTGCTAGAGAATAAAACAAAAAGATTTTCATTTCCTACTTAATTGTCTAGGCAACTTTTTTGTTAGTTTATTAAAAATGTATCTGCTATCTTAGATCAGAACTTGGTATATATTCTATTCACAATTTATCTGGCTTTAAGCCACAAACCACCCTGCCTCTTTTACTGTAACTGTAGGCAGTGTTCCAGTATGCAAACTTAAATAACCCTCCAACAGTGTGATTGTTTGAAAGTTACTTATGCTAAACTTCCAAATTTCCTGTTTCATATAAGATTTAGAAGTGAGATTTTTGATGATGACCAAAGGATGAAAAAAGCCAACTTGAATTATTTTTTAAATGAGCCTTTTATTATTTAAAGAGACTCATTTCAGAGGGTACTGACATTTTGCCAACTTTGAATCCTTTGAATTATAAAACTCTATCCATTCATTTAAGTCTTCTATAATGTTTCTTAGCAAGTTCTGAAATATATATTAGATAAACATATATACTCTATATGTTTATATATTATACATATTTTAATTGTGTTCAACAATAGTGTTAACTAATGAATAGAAATACAACTTTGTTTTTTGATTTACCTTGCAACTTTGCTGAATTCATCTCCCTAATGTTATTTTATAATAGTGTCAGAACAATCATGTCTTTTAAAGATAATTTTTTACTCCTTCCTGCCAATAATTCTAATCGTGTTTATTATCTTGCACTATTTCCCTGTCTAATATTTCCAAGGGAAATACTAGATAAACATAACAAAGAACGTCCTTCATTGTTTACAATCCCTATGTGATGCCTTCAATATTTCATTACTAGCAAGATGCTACCTGTGCTTGTTTTCAGAGGACTTTTATCGGATTGGCAATGTCCTCTTCTATTTTTGTGTTGCCATACTTTTAATTATTTTTAATCATGAATGAATGTTAAATTTTAACAAGCTGATTTTTTAATGAAGGTGATCATATTCATTCTATTCTATTGTGTTTTATTATATGAATTGACTTTGAAAGTAGACTATTGTCTTCTTAGGATAAACCACATTTAAATATAACAAATTTCTGTCTTTAATTAACTAATACTTTGTCAAAGGTTTTTGCATGCACTGTTAGAATGGCTGCTGAAGAGCACTTTTTATTTTATTATATATTTTTACCTTTTATCAATATTATTTTACTAGACTTGAAAACTTTGGGGGAAATATAAACTTTTCCTCTTTTATTTTATGTGATAAAGTTGATATTATTCTTTCTTCTAACTTTTGTTAAATATCACCAATGAAACTATTTCCACTTGAACCTTTATAATCAGTCATAAATCTAACTTTCAGTAAATATAAGGAAATTTATTTCTATATTTTTGATAAATTGAGTTTTTCAAAAAAATATATCTATTCCACAAAGTTTTGGGAGATATTTACATAAAGTTGTTGTTTGTTGTTTTATTATTTTCTTTAACTAAATCATGGTTTTAATAATATCCATTTTCATTACTATTTTAGCTATAAATTTTTCAAATTTAATATTCTTTTTTTTTTTTTTGAGACAGGATCTCCTATGTAATTGAGACTGACCTGGAACTCACTATGTAGCCCAGGCTGGTCTCAAACTCACAGTGATCGTCCTGCCTCAGCCTCCTGAGTGCTGGGATTACAGGCGTGTGCCACCACGCCCAGCTCTAAGAAATTTATTTTTAACAGAATCCCACAAACCATATCATTCCCTTAGGTTTATTTTCTAAAGTTCCTTTTGGTGTTTTCAGCTTTATATATTTCTTTAAGATATTGTTCCAATACAGTTGTACTTCCTTCTGTGTGGCTTCCTTGTGTACTTGTTCTCCAGCGACTGTGAACTGAGTCTCATCAAAGTCCCTTTTCTACTGGGCTTCTTTTCATAGTAAATTTGCTCTTTTTAAAGAATTTCAGAAATGTGTGTTTGTATTTTTGCTCTTGAAGTCATTTTACCACATATACAAATTCTAATTCTCGATTGGGATTTTCAGTTTTGTTAGTTTTCTCTCATTATATTGAAAATATGATTAATTCTGGTCTAGATTTGATTGGTCTTGTAGAAAAGTTACCAGGCTAATTGTCATTCACTGAAAATTTATCTTATGCCTCAGGCTTATTTGGATCTCTGCACTTCATCTATACTCTTCAATTTTACTGTGATTTGCTGAGGACAATGTTTGTTTGTTTTTCATTTATTTTTCTTGTGCTTATCTCCCTCTGAATTTAGAAGTATGATTTAGTCAGCCTTTCCCATCCTTATAGTCTTGATTTGCCTTTATTGTACCTGAAAGGCCTTCTTTTTCTTTAACTATAATAAATATAGGTAGCTTATATTGATTCTATACATTCAGAACATTATTTGTGAGACTCCAGGGATTAGAAGAAATCTCTTCCCTTGTCCAACTTCCTTGTATTTATGAGATCCTACCACTTCTGCATACTTCAGATCTGTTTTTTGTTTTGTTTTGTTGTTGTTGCTGCTGCTGTTGTTTCAGTGAAATATCAGGACTGGAAAATTCAAGACAGAAGACTTTTCTAAATAGTGTTTTGTAAGGCTCCACCTTTTATTTATTCTTCCTGTGCTGATTTCTACTGTCTGCTGCTAATGTCTGAGGATGTTGAATTTTTAAAATGAGGTAGCATGGTGCTATTTGTAACTCCCTGGTAAATACCCTTCATGTAAAATAGTGACGGTGAGAGCTCAGGCAGCAAGTTGTTATTGCAAAAGCTCACCAAATTTCCAGTTCTAGTCTAACAGTCACCTAATAAGGAAATCCCTCCAGGATAAGAATCACCCACTAATTTAATGAATATGAATTGGCAGACATGGCTTTATTTTGTGGGGAGCTTTTGTGTGCAAGACTGACAGAAAATTTAAAAGGAATCAAGTAAATGATCAAAAAAGCTTTGTCCATGCAAGAGATGAAATATTCCCTGTACTCCCAGTCCAAGAAGCTCTAGTTGATGTATATTTATGTTTATTTAAAATTTTTTCTCTATATGTTCTCTAGAAAAAGTGCATATCAGCTTGAAGACCCCTAGCATGTATTTCTGCTGAAGATACAAAGGTTTCAGCTGTATTTTAACAAAATATTTCCCAGTTTATGGTAGATATATATATAGAGATAAAATAACCATAACTATAAAGTAATCCAGAAACCAACCAAAAATACAAAAGGAAATCTCCTTGGTGGTATCAAATTTTTGTTAAGTGATAATTTTTTTTAGTATAAAATCTTGTCACAAAAAAGCATATGGGGATTATATTTATCTCCAATATTCTAAGACAGTTAGATTTGCAGATCTTCATTTTCTCGCTCTACTCTCTAGAATAGAAATCTCTTTTTCTAACCTTCTATTTTCACCTAAAAACTTATTATGAAATATTGCTTATTTAAGGATATATAACTTCTTCTTTTGACCTGTTTGCATGTTAAAATATATACTCCTTATCCAAATTTTCACTTTTATAAATAGTTTCATTCATCACTTATTTTATATAATAAATGGTCAAAATTATTCTTTTGTTAAAAATGTGATTATCTTTATTAGTAATTTTTATATTGACAAAGTAAGCTAAAAGAAGTGTGCAGACTTTTAATCAAAACTGCCCTACAGTTGTTTGGTTTAGGATATTTGATTATTAATTAAATGAGTAGAAAGGTAGCTTTCATTATTTCAATAGAAAAAATGCAATATTTTAACTTTCAAAAAAGTCTATAACTTTTAAACTAACATTTTTATATACAATTTTTCTGTGGATTTTATTGATGCATTTTTGAATGCTTCTTTCTAGTGTATAATTTTTAATTACTTTAATTTACAGTATTTCAACATTTTAGCAATAAATGTTACAAATGTTTTCTTAGCATAAGCCACCATTTTAATTATATTTAGACAGAATACCATACAATTACATGAATATGAGCATAAAATCTATTTAAAAATACATTGTGAGCAAATTAACAAATATGTAGAATACACTATACTTTAATAGGTTTCCATTAATAAATGCCCACGATCTTTGAATGCTTAATTATTAGAACTGAAAATCTTTAATAAAATTAAAATATGAATATTTTTGTTAGGAAATAATTTTATGTTTCATCTGCTTCCTCTGGTTATTATTTGTCATTTTTCTTCACTCTGCTACAACTTCAACAGGGATCAAATA